CTGGCCTTAAACTGCATGACTCCATTCCAGTCCTAATAGCTATGATCCTAAGTACATCCTTTGTCATCACTAGGGTCAGTATAACACAAAACCTTATTTCTTTGTGGGGTGACCACTGCTGCCTTTCTCCTGCCTCTCCACAGAGTTCTAAAACACTACAAAGCATTATGACTTACTGTTTTAAATGCACATAGGAACAGTTTTTGTTCATCCCATCAATGGTTTTCATGTCCTCCTCAGAGAGCTGGAAGTCAAAAACCTGACACAGAAGACAGGATCAAACATTGGGTTATTCCTGCAGGATGTATGTGCATCTACAGAAGCACAAGCCTCATGTTATGTGAGAAGGAAATGAAATAGGTATATTAATTTGGGCCTGCTCTTTCCACTGTATTTTAGACATTTCGGATGTGAAGGGTATGTAGCTATGTAACTGTTGTGATTTCATTTTCTGTGCATTTTACCTTTAAACTTCTAGGAATCTGCTGTCTGCAGAGGCAGCTGCCATTTTGGGAAGTAAAGGGCATGTTACAGAGGAAATACACACTGTGCTCTCTCATGTAGCTGTTCTTCCTTGTTTTGTTCTTTCCCTTAATCTAGAATAAATCAGTCAGTCTGATATTCCTTGGGTATGGAAAATAGAACAAGGGATCCCATTGGAAGCTAATTTACCTGGGAAAGCTGTTTAAGACCCTGGACTAAAATGGGCATTGGAGGACAGAGCAGGGTTTGGAGAGGACCCATGGTCTAGGCAAGAGGCTGAGGGCAGGAAAGGGGCACACTCCCACTGGAAGATCATTTGTCTTTCCCATTTGATGTCAAGTATAGGGTTAGCCATTTTGGGAAAAGGCTCCACAAATCAGTTGCTCCCTCAGAATTTTCCCTTTTGGAGACACAAGGAGGACTCCAGGGTTTTTTCTCCCCATATTATTATTTGTTCTCGAGTGGGAGCCAAGTTACACAGTTCAAATATTAAAGTGGCAAAAGCCTTCTCTAAGAATAGAGAACCTGCCTGAGAACTGCGCTACGCAATGTCTGATAGTTCTCAGGCAGGATCCTGCACTGCCATATTGTACAAGGGCACAAAAGTTCTCAGCCCTCTACAGTGTCCCATCTAAATCTGCACACAGGGAGGTGTGTCCCTCATCCTCTTCTCTCTCCCCTCCTGTTTTACCTGGAAGTTTTCTTCAATACGCTTTCTGGTGAAGCTCTTAAAGAGGACCACGATACCACGCTGCAGCTGGTAGCGCAGGGCTACTAGAGCAGGGCTTCGGTTGTATTTTTTGGCAATTGCACCCAATACTGGGTCCTCCAGCAGAACTGGGGTGCTTTGGTCTACCCTGCAAGGGAAACAGAGAAACAGGGCGCATTTTGGGGATCAGGAAAGCAGTCATCTCAGCCTAGTGAGGACAATGCCTGTGAAATCTGAAGATAACCTACTAGGTCTTTACCGACTCTCATTTTTATTCTATAACTCTATAAATACCAGATATTTTGAAGACAGAGGGTACTTTCCCCTCCCTCCAACCCATTTTTGAGGTTCTAAACCTGGGAGCACAGTCCAGTTTCTTTCCTTACCAGTTCTTGTCTCTCTGTGATCCCAGAACAAAATAGGCTTCGAGGAGGATATCCTTGGATTTGCAGAAGGCCAGTAGTTTGCCTTGGTTGAGGTAAGGGTGACATTCAACCTGCAGAATCACCCCCCAACCCAAAATTGAGATTTCAGATCATATAAGCAGCAGCAGTCAGACAAAAGAAACAGCAGATGTTATGTCGAGGGGATACAGAATGTTAAAATATCAAAGTAAATTTCAGTAAAATATCCTTCAATTAAAATACAGCCTGGCAGTGCAAGTGACCACGGGGTGCAGTTTAGCTGATAACAAATCCCAAGAAACAGTTTATCTAGTAGAGGACAGTGAAGCCAATACATGCTGTGTGGGGACAGGCTTAATAAGGACTTATAAACTGAGGGCCAAATCCTGCTTGCCTTACGCATGCCTGTAGTCCCACTTGACACCTCACTAAGTCTTCTACAAGGAGGTTTTGGCCCATCGTGTATTGTTACGCAGCTAGAATATGGATCAATATCATGTCCTGGACCAATACTGCCATTAAAGCCATGGCTATTAGTTGTAGTGAGATAATTACTAATAGATGTTCTATGGGTCTTTACTGGGACCAGTTGTAACTGTAGATATGGACGAGATGGCACTCTCATTCTAAGCCCTTATTTTCAGTGGCTGATAACTTCCCCTCATGTGGTCTCTTGGTCTAAAATTTCTCATGCTTGGTCTCAACTCATAAATGAATTTTTTGAGGGGGAGGGAAGAAATTGAATCAAAATCAGTTCAGTCATTTTTGAGTATGAAACAATAGTTTTTTCTTCAAGATAAGACATTTTACTCTTACATATTTTAATATTGAAATTTAGAAGTTTAGATTTTCAACTTCAAAATGACCTTCTACCTATATATAATCCTCCATATAGAACTTGTGCTATGCTAAGTTTAAAAAGAAAAACACTTGAGAGGTAAAATTACTTTCAACTACTGACTATGGGATGCTGTGCATATCCTGTGTTATTTTGCTTATCATATATAACTCAATTCTTTCCCTTTATCCAGCATGTATAGAATACATCTGGGTATCTACATGAAAGGTAGGCAAATAGATTAGAAAGTCACATTTCTGAGTATGAGTTTGGATAACCTGGTAACAAAACCTCCTCACATTCCAAGCAGAGAAAGGCTGGTGCTCTTAAAGTCCATTCCCATAGCAGGGGAATGAGGTAGCAGGAGAGGATCTCTGGATGTGCAGGGAAGCAGCTGTGTCTCTCTTTCGCCTGCCCCTCTCAAACACTGTTTCCTTTATGGGTATTTTCTACTTTATTCTTTCTTGATTTGCATTAGTTTTTCCATGAATTTAATGATGGGCACAAACAAAGCCCTTTTCCAAACTCCATAAAATTATGGGGTTTTTTTCAGAACTTGAACCTAAATCTGTATTTGCTAATGGCCCCCATCTTTAACGTCAACTGGTCCTAACACCCAAAAATTCTGAGGAGTTCAATATCAGGGTCTAACTGTTGTGGCTTGTGTCTACTTGAAGTGAAGCAATAAGAAGGTTTCCCTTTTGATTTAAAAGAAAGGCTGGACATTATCTCCTGCTGAGAAAGACATTCTGGAGTTTCTGTTTCCTTTAAACACTGAGGTTCTTCTCCCATAAATGAAAATCTTCACTGACTACAAGTTCTGAATTTCTTCTAACTCAACACTTTTAGGTCTCCATCCAAAGGCCAGAGTTTTACCTGGTTGAGAACAGGTTTGTACTTGAGCCCCGGTTTGTTCAGGATCATCTCCAGCTGTCTGATGTTGAAGTTGGACAC